CTCTACTTTGCGACATCATTTAGTATTTTTGCATTGAATTACACATATATATAAATTAATTACATCCAACTGGGAATGATTGACTTTCATTGATATTCTTCAGGTTTTTCCGCCAATTCTTGGCTTTCTTTGGGGTACATCAGATGGCTTTGTGCCTCTTCCGTTTCATTGCATTTTGAGAATTTGGCAATTGAAGGTGAGTTGCACAGACAATTAGTACTTTTACAACCTTGGTAATCTTTATCCTCGGTGGATTCATCATATCCAAAGGTTTGAATTCCTTAGCATAAGATTTGAACTTATTGTTAAAGCTACTAAGATTTTCATGATAGTGTCATATTCTACACATTATATGACGAGTTGTTCCATTTCTTGTTACAGATGATCTTGAACCATGGATGAAATGGGCCTACTATTTATCTCCCATGATGTATGGACAAAATGCCATAGCCGGTGTTGAATTTCTTGATAAAAGATGGAGCACGGTAACCTCTAAAACCGGTTTTTCTCTTACTATTTTCAGCTTATTTCCCACGATCTTCATTAACCATACACTTCCATGTTTGTTCTTTTTCAGCCCAATATCGACATATTATTTCCTGGATCCACAGTCGGAAAAGCCCTCCTCAAAGCTCGGGGCATGTTTGTGGAGGAATATTGGTATTGGATTTGTATTGCTGCACTCCTCGGGTTTTCTCTGCTCTTCAATGTCTTGTTTATTGCAGCTTTAACGTATTTGAAACGTGAGCAACTTCTCAAACCAATCTCAGTTTCATTATGAAAATCATAAACTAATTTTGACAAAAAAACATTTTTTTTGGAAATTTAATGCAGCCTTTGGAGATTCTAAACGCACTATTGTGGATGAGGCTGATGAAAATAAGAACAAGAAGGTTACAGATAAGATTTCTGCATCAACAGAACCAGGATTTGAAGGTTTGAGACATATCCATATGTTTGCCTATCAAGTATTTTAACCGGGTTAATTGAACATTTTTTTTCCTCCTTTTAGTTACTGATATACTTCCTGAACTGCAGAGAAAACCAACTTGAGCGTTGTGGAGAACACAAATAGTAAAAGAGGAATGGTGCTGCCCTTCCAACCCTTATCCCTTGCATTTGATCATGTGAATTACTACGTTGATATGCCTGCTGTAAGTCAATTTATAGAAACAAAATCATGAATAACAAAGACTAACAAACAAACATTCGCCATTTTGAATTTCAAAAAAGCTTCAACTTTAACAGCCCAAACAAGTCTCAAACCAAATGAAATTTCTAAATGAGTACAAATTATGGTATTTTCATCAGGAAATGAAGAGCCAAGGAATTGAGGAGACTCGCCTCCAACTGTTGCGAGATGTCAGTGGTGCTTTCAGGCCCGGTGTTCTAACAGCATTGGTTGGTGTTAGTGGTGCCGGGAAGACCACCTTGATGGATGTGCTAGCGGGAAGAAAAACAGGTGGCTTCATCGAAGGAAATATCAGCATTTCTGGTTACCCTAAAAACCAAGAAACTTTTGCTCGTGTCAGTGGTTACTGTGAACAAAATGATATCCATTCGCCACATGTCACTGTTTATGAATCTCTCATATACTCTGCTTGGCTGCGCCTTGCCAAGGATGTAGACAAAGAAACACGAAAGGTATAGCTTTCTCTGTCTAAAACCACAGTTAAATTTTTGCCCCATGAGAGCAAAGTTTATTGATTTTGTTCAATTATTTTGTGTTGTAGATGTTTGTTGAGGAAGTGATGGATTTGGTTGAGCTGAATCCACTGAGGGATTCTCTAGTTGGGCTTCCAGGAGTGAATGGTCTTTCGACTGAACAGCGAAAAAGGCTCACTATAGCTGTTGAATTGGTTGCAAACCCTTCCATCATCTTTATGGATGAGCCAACATCGGGGCTTGATGCTAGAGCTGCTGCTATAGTGATGCGAACTGTGAGAAACACGGTGGATACTGGGCGAACTGTTGTCTGCACTATTCACCAACCGAGCATAGACATTTTCGAAGCTTTTGATGAGGTATTATATCTTGATTTCATGGTATTCCTTTTTTTTTTATAGACCTTCATTTTTTTTTCTCCTTTGATCAAATTTAATTCCCCGTGCAGCTATTTTTGATGAAGAGAGGAGGACAAGCCATCTATGCCGGACCTCTTGGCTGCAATTCACACCTGTTGGTAGAATATTTTGAAGTGAGTACAAAGTCTTGTCTTGAAACCAAGTGGATTTTAGGGATTTCAACATAAAATGGATTTTATGTTTATCATAACCGATATTTGTGATTGCTTGCAGTCTATTGAAGGGGTTCCCAAGATCAAAGATGGTTGTAATCCGGCTACATGGATGCTGGAAGTTAGTTCTACTGCAGTTGAGGCTAAGCTTAACGTGGACTTCGCAGAAATTTATGCCAACTCTGATCTATACCGGTATGTTGCATATGATAACACAATCTTGGAATTTGTTGCATGTGACAACACTCTCATACTCGTCATTTTGTTTCATGTATAGGAGGAATGAAAAACTCATCAAAGAGCTTAGCACTCCAGCACCGGAATCCCAAGACCTATTCTTCCCCACTAAGTATTCGCAATCTTTTATCACTCAATGCCAGGCTTGCTTCTGGAAACAATACTGGTCCTACTGGAGGAATCCTCAATACAATGCCATCCGGTTTTACGTCACAATGGCCATTGGTATTCTATTTGGAGTCATTTTCTGGCAGAAAGGAACTCAAGTGTGAGTACCATTAGAACACTTGTATATCTTTGCTTGTTCAATTGGAATATGGAACTTCATCTTACTAAAAACTAATTATTCAAAACAGGCACAAAGAACAGGACCTAATGAACTTGCTCGGAGCTATATATGCTGCAGTTTTCTTCCTCGGAGCCACAAACACGTGCACTGTGCAGCCTGTTGTGGCAGTAGAAAGAACAGTCTTTTACCGTGAAAGAGCAGCTGGGATGTATTCACCATTGCCTTACGCGTTTGCTCAGGTAAAATTAAAACGAAACAGTTTCAAATTTCAGTAATAAATCTTCAATAAATAACATTAGTAATAGTGAACTAATTCACAATACCTTATGTTCTTCAGGTGGCTATAGAGACAATTTATGTTGCAATCCAAACATTGGTCTACGCTGTTATCCTTTATGTAATGATTGGATTTCCATGGCATGTGGAGAAGTTCATCTCATTCTACTACTACATCGCTATGTGCTTTATCTACTTGACATTGTATGGAATGATGGTTGTAGCACTCACTCCAAACATTCAGATCGCTTCCATTGCCATGTCGTTCTTCCTCAGCTTCTGGAACCTATTCTCCGGTTTCCTCCTCCCTAGGACGGTATGTATACATAATTAAAGCTGCAAAGTCTAGCATTTAGGGTAGGCAATGAATCTAATGAGATCGTGTGAAACATTTTCTAAGAGAAAAATAATAGGTGATTACAATCACAGATAAGTGAAATATTTTCCACAAAATTTCTAATGATATGTACAGAAAATGAATTAGGAGATGACATTAAAATGGAATAGTACTAAGAAAACCAATCAATTTCATATTATGGAAATAAAACACATCCATTCTAAATGCTATGATGAATTAAAAGGATTGCTTTTCAAGTTCATATATGTTTCAAGTTCACTCTTGAAAATAAATAAATAAATAAATCTGACTTTTTTGCTTCAACCTTTTTAAATTTGCAGGAAATACCCATATGGTGGAGGTGGTACTACTGGGCTTCACCAATAGCATGGACTATCTATGGCCTTCTGTGCTCTCAGTTGGGTGACAGTATGAATCAGATAGATATACCTAAAATTGGTAATATGCGAGTGAAAGATTACTTCAAGCGGAATCGTGGCTATGATTATGATTTCCTCGGAACTGTTGCCGTGGTTCATCTTGGTTGGGTACTCCTCTTCTTCTTTGTCTTTGTCTATGCGATCAAGGTCTTGAACTTCCAGAGGAGATAAGGGAACCTTAGAACTCGAGAAACATTGGTGTACAAGGTTTTGCAGCAATAATCTGATTCTAAAATAATTTGTTTGTATTTTAAATTTTTTTGTTCAGTGTCAAAGCCGATAAAGTCAATACATGTTTGTCATTGATTGTTGTTCTCCATTCTAAGTAAAAGCTGATTTGCTTGTGTGGATGTCCATATTTACTTTTCTTATGTCCAACCACTTTTTTTTGTTGCTTCAATATGGTTTTGTGGTGGAATGTCTGTCAAAGAGCATAATCGATGCTTTAATCTTCCTTATATGTACATCAATTAACAAAAACAACCAGTCTCTCAAGGTTGCTTTTGGTATGATCTAGATTCTAGACTAAACAAACTCATCTTACCTCATAAGATCCTCTGTTTCCTTAGGCCGGTCGTCCACGATTGCTTGCCTAGTTGAGAAGATATATGAAGAAATGGTTGAACACATGCTTGTCGAAGCTTCCATTTTCAGCCAGTATTGTTTGCTGTCTCCATTTTGATCAAGCTCTTAACAGCTTGGCTGTTGAAATCTGTGAGTCTTCAGCATCATCACTTTTCTGGCCTTTTATCTCAGATTTGTATTACCTTTCAATGCATTTGGCTTCAATTGTTGTCTTCCATTCTGATCTCGTAACCCCTATCCCCAGTGCTTAGCCAAATTCATTCTCCTAACTCATTTCCAACGGCATTGTACTCACAGGGATCTTCATCCCTTGTAGACTCGTGATCTTCGGCCCAGGACAGGCCTCTGGTTCAAGTCTGGACTTCCTCCGAAGAGTTTGTTTCAGAAGTTTAGTATGTGCCCCCAGTTTTCAGTGTTCAACCCTAAACTCAGAATGTATCACAGTATCATGTTTTTTCTTTGGACAAAGATCTTTACATTTAGCAAAATAACATAAAACAAAACAAAACAAAACAAAACAGAACTAGAAAAGCAAACTAAAAACAAATAACAGATGTCACAGGTGTGGCCCATATGAGGTTAATTTGGCCCTAGAAATGATTTTACTCGGATAGTGCTACAATGTTCTTGCATAAAATTTTCTGAAGGTGATTTGGTAAATACCAACACAGGGATTTTCACTAGCCACTTCTATCCAAACCATCAAAAGCAAACAAGGAATAACATAATTGAGTGTCCTCAGGCCTAAATATTAAAGATAAAGTTGCAGATTCAAAATCTGTTTCCATAACAAAAACTGTCTTCATTTGGACTCTCAGCGAAAGCAGAGAATAATACCAATAATTCAAACCAACAACGATCTTAACTAAGACCAATTACACAAACAGCGGCAACATCTTTCAGTTGAGGTAATCATAGGCCCCCTCATTCGGGTTTCACAGCAGCATTAGCAAGATCCTGAATCTCCTTCTTGCTCTTTATCAAGCTCTTTCTCTTGGTATCCATATCAACCTTATCCAAGTCCTCAGCAATCCCTATGTATCCGTAAAGCACAAGCTCCTCCATGCTGTGCCCCTGCATTACTCCTACATCATTATTGCTGCTGCTTTTACCCTTGTTGGAACTCGAAGTCACTTGCTCAAATTCCACTCTTCCGTGCTTGTTGTCAACAAAATATTTATGAAGTCTCTCTGCGTCTTGCAGACCAGAAAAAGTGCCCAAGAACTTGACCACCATGACACTATGGTTTGCTGGCTTTCCAAGGTACGTCTTGATCTTTCCCCCACTAAAGCCTTTACCTGCCATTACACAAGAAAGAAGAAAATAAAGCAATATATGCAGCCATAATTCAAAATCCCGATTATTAATGACATATCCAATGTGGTCATGAAATATTTTAGAACATTTTAGTGTGCTAATATAAATTCAAAATCATCCTGGTTAATGGCAATAGAAATAATTGTAAAAAATTATCAGATTACTCAATTGGTTTTCCTGAAAACTGCTAGTTTTGAAGCATCAAATATAATATATTGACCACAGATACTATAAACTCACCTCTAAGAAACTCTCCAAGTGCTTCTAAAGTAATGACTTTCCGCTCACCCACATTATTTTCTGCAATAGAACTGTTATGGATGATGATAACCGGTGGCCAGAGAACCAGGTCCTCTTTCTGAGCCCTAGCTTCAGCATCAGGAACATCCTCTGGAACCCATGTGATAACATCAGGAGCCACCACACTGTTCCACCCTAACAGAACACAAATTGCTTTGTGAAGACCCAGGTGCTGTGCTCTCAGTCCAACCTTGTGAGACATGAATGCATGCATCACCAAACGTTGAGTGTCCATGAAATCTTTTGATAGGCTGAAAGAACACATAGACGAGCAATTGCATGAGTAAGTGAAGGACTCTATCACTGCCACAGGGCACACAGTAAACAAGCATCCCTTCTATTCAAAAGCAAAACAGAAGGCTGATAAAAAGAAAAAAGAGCAATAACAGAAGGAAATCACAGTACTCCGATGTCCCAATGATAAACACTCATTTGGAAGACAATACAAACCACTGGAAGCTTCATAAATAACTGAATAAATAGCCCTAATCCTAAATTAAAATGGTTATATGATTTATAAATGAAAAAGAAAAATGATGTAAAAAAGTGCCTGGCAACATGTTTGACGCCATTAGAATTTTACAATTGAGTTGGGTTAATGGCGTGTCTATTTTTTTCCCTCAGGTGATCCATTTGTTCATCAGTTTCAAGTTTCAAAGAATCTTATACAAGACAAAAACATAAGAAATTTTCGAACGGAAAACAGCAAAATATTTCATATTATAACTATAAGTTATAACCAACATATCGCAACTGATTTATCCTAAAAAAAAAATATTTGTTTTGATAAGTGATCTATCATACCACAATCCTAAAACCAGAAACTGAATTCACCAATATAATAAATCATGTAATATTATATATGAAACTTAAGGATTTTAACTAGAGACCATAATTAACAGACTTTTGCTAGCACCACACCTAATCCAACATCACAAAAGTTAATCAAGTAGCTCCGTGACCATTGCATATACATGGGGGGGTGCCAGTTCATAAGCAATGACACAAGTTCCATGTTTTCTAGTGTAATCATAGCATTCTGCAGAGATTCATGAACAACAAAGAGCAACTGATAGACAGCATGGCTTTTTTCCATGTCATCATGACAAACCTTGGGCAATAGCAACCATGAGTACCTTACACTAACTCGATTAACCAGAACCATGATCATTGTCTGATGAACACAATACTACAAAATTAAATTACTTCCTGCATGTGACAAAATATGAGGTTACTTGCATACATCCTGAAATGGACCAAGTGGGTCCATGCGCTTCATAGTATCTAACAAGGAATACTAGTTCAACATTGGTTTCAGAAGAATGACAGCTTTCACCTATTGATTAGAAGGCAACTGAACCACTGAACCACTGAACCAACAATTTGACTTAATTTATTAACCCATGCTGGCTCTAGCTCAGCGAACTGGTGCTTTACCTTATGTAATTTTTTTTTGGCAATCACCCCTACGTCAGTCCCAACTAAAACCAAAATAGCAAGGAATTTGTTTCTTTAGGTAGTAACTAACTCTTAAAGGCAATTTGACTGCTTAACCAACCACTGGACTTCAACTCAATAAACTACCAGCGAGATGGTGTCATTCCTACACTATAGCCTAAGTACATCTTCATAGTGTTAATGATCACACCTTAAAAAATTAATCATGTAAGCATTTTCCCCAGTCACCAAAACCACCTGACTAGGCCAATTAATCTTAAAAACAAAAGCAGCAGTCAATTAAAACATAATCCAACATCCCATGAACAGCAGAATTTACCTTGAAAGGAAACCTATGTCTACAAAACATGGTGTACCTAAAATTTCACACATTCCACTGATACCACTAAACAATCCACCTTCAAACTTATCCAACCAACAGAATGTCACAGGTGGTTAAAACATGGGGCTGCTTGAATATGTCCTGAAATTAACAAGGTGAGGTCCACATGCTTCTTAAAATCTAACTCAAAGGAATACTAATTCAAAATTAGTTTCAAAAGAATGCCACCTTTCACCTTACCTTCACAAGGCAACTGCCCTACTGAACAAAAAATCTGATTTATACCCAGTTTGTCTATCTCAGCCAACCAATGTTTTCTGTTTTTAGTTTATTTTATTTTTTCAGTTCTTATATTCATCAATCATTCCCAAAAGTCTCAAATAAAACAAAAAGAACAAGAACTTCGAGTTAGCAAATACTCACCTGCTCGGAAGCACGGACATGGATACAAACACGGGACACGGTGATTCCAAAAAGTCAAGGCACGGACACGGCGGCGATACGAATTTTTTTATTTATTTGCTATGTATTTATTACACCCATAAACAACCAAAATTAATAAAAGCCAATACTAATTTAACATAAAAATAAACTAAATTTAAATAAGCTGGAGACTAGATCTATGTTGTGTTAGCCTCCAAGGATCACTAGAAGACGACAGTCTTCTCACCTTCACAACTGTGGTTAGATCAATGTTGTGTTGTTGATGGTTTGATATATATATATATATATTTAAATGAAACACTCATGTTTCCAAATAGTATAATATTAACCCTGAAATTAGCTTTGAAAAATTAAATAAAATCCTGCCGTATCACCGCCGTGTCTCTTGAAGAATTTTTTTTTATTAAAAAAGTGGTGTGCCTGCGTGTCCCCACCATGTCGGTGTCCTATGTGTCCAACACGGCTATGACAACCATTTTGAAGTGTCGGTGCCTCATAGCTCACTCAATTGCAGCAGTAAGAACAAGACTATGAGACTTCAAACTCAACAAATCAAAGTGCTTCGCTTTGAAAGATATTGTAAACTAAAAGACAGACCTTCTGCCACATACGATGCAGAACAAGCTCCCAGCTCTTCCTTGTTCCTTGTATCTTTTGCGAACACCAGGGTTCTCATTCAACTTTTTACTGAAAATTAAGAAGGCCTTATGTACCAGTTGTCTAAACTCCTCAGAATCCTCAGGTGGCTCAGACTTTGCAGAACTCACCCAATCTTCAGATTGGTCAACTTCATTTTCAAGCACATCCACTTGGTTATCATCCTTGCCTCTAATCCAAACATTGTTTCGTTTGGAAAGAACATGCCTTTTACTATGATGATATGAATTGTATGATCTTACAGGACCAGGCCTCAGGTGACCCTTTGAATATCTACCACCAGGCTTATACGGTTTGATAGAATACTCTTGCACATGCTCCATAGAGTCATGAGATGAAAACCAATCCTCAGATGGAGAAACTCTACGACGATCTGCCCCAACAAACATCCTCTCTTCCCTTTGATATTGTTTCTTGTCATAACCCGCATTTCTAGATGAAAATGAAACACTTGAATCTTCACCAGTCCACTCCTCATTCCTATTATTTAGATCCCTTATTCTACTAGTATTATACCATTTACCTGGTGTAATATTTCTAGAATTATATCTATTCATTTCTGCATCTGCAGAGTACTTTCTCTTGAGTGACCTGTCAGATGAGTCATATGTGCCAAGCTCCTCCGCTTTCATTTCGTGTGTCCTTACAGCAGGTCTACGCATTTCCAGCTCATAGTTGTACTCAGGTGAATTCCTCATTCTTTCATTGTGAGATGCTGGACCTGCATCTCTTCCAAAACCATAACCTAATCTCAAGTGTGAGATTTCATGCTCCTTTGAGACACCAAAATGTGGTATTTCATGATCTCTTGGCACTCTCCTCCCAAACTCAACAGGAGCACTTCCAGAATCTAAATACTCCCTACCTTTTGATGCAGTTGATACATTTGCACCAAGGTAGTTTGACAGTGTCTGCTTTTGCATGGAAGGGCGGTCCAAAAAACTGTTATCTCTTAGATTTCTGTAAGTATATTCAGTATTATCAGCACGTTCTGAAATAGGATCCCTCATACGTGGTCTTAAATAATCTGTATGATCATAGTCTACTCGCTCATGTGTATCCATCCTTCTGTAGAATTCATCAGATGGATATCCGTATTCATCGCTATCTCTTCCTCCAGCTCTAGGATTTAGATAATCCTGATCAGCCCTGGTGGGACTAAATGCGTCCCGCCGATAGTGCGCCAGATCCTTATGTTCCATGTTAGCATCTCTTCCAGAGTCTAAAATGGACCTTTGGCCATAGCCACCGAAGCCCGAAGGTTCTTTGAGTTTAGCAGAGTTCCTAGGATATTCATCTGTTAGCAAAGTCATACCATCCTGGTATGATGTGTGGAAATTGGCCCTGGAAATTCCTGGTGATGGGCCAGTAAAATCCTCAAACTGAGAGGTACCAATACGATCCTTGGACTGAGACACTGGCACCTGGGTATAAGAAACGTCCGTTGAATAAAACATGGGATCTGTGGACTTCCCTGTATGATTCCATAGCTGATAATTTATCTCCTAGCAATGGGTCTGGATACCGAGCCCTTTCATCCTTGAACCGGCCTATATCCAAATTTGCAGATGATGATGAGAAACGTCCGTCACCTTCCTCATATTTTGATGTGGTTCCCAAATCTTTAGGCAACCTGAACGAATCACGTACTGCATCGTCTTTTGAAACCATCAGTTTCTGACCTGACATCCCATGTACACTAGCACCCAACAATCTGTTACCATCAAAGTCCTTCTCCCTAGAGAATTTAGAAGCATTATGCTCAAACCTAAATTCAGGCTTCAACCCAATGTTCCCATCAGCATCAGCATTCGTATCCACATAGTCAACAAATTCATTTCTTTGCCGCAATCCTGGAGTTAGTAAATCCCTACTTGAAACCCCCTCATCATAGTGAGGCCTTTTATGCCCTAGCCCAAATGGGGGCGACCTTGACAGCAATCGCTCACCTCTACCACCACCCAAATCCCAACCATAATCCCTCCTTTCAACTGAATTCCTCCTCCCATCCACACCCAATAGCCTCCGCGACCCCTCCACTTTCCGAGGGCTCAAACTCCTCCGAGATCGTGGTGACCGATCCAGAAAATCACGGCGAGGCATGGCGTAAGAGTCATGACCTAATTCAATTCCACGATCCCTTCGATCATAAGGATCAAGACCTAATTCAATTCCACGATCCCTTCGGTCAGATGGGATCGTAAAGTCGTCATGCCTTCGAGATTGCATATTCAACAAACCAATAAAAGTTCAAAAACAGATACACTAATATTCTGATCTGGAAAAAGCTTCGATTACCGATCCAAATGAGATTTGTTATACAAAACCCTAAAGTGTCACAGGTGCTTAGAGATCAAACTCCAAACCCTAACCCTAACCCTAGAAGTAATTCACAATACTGCAATTCATATCATCACCATGTGTATAGCTTACAAGATAAGCTAAATTGGAGTGTGTAAAAGATAGAGAGAGAGGATCTGAGGTAGATTTCAAACCTTGTGTAGTGAATTTTGAGAATCCATGTATGTTGATTTCAATAGATTAATTTTGCAGAAGAAGAAGAGGAAGAATAAGAAGAGTTCCTCTCGGCGATGGTTCGCTAAAAGATAGAGAAGTGGTGGTCATAGTGACTTTTTATATAAATAATAAAAATTTTTAAAAAAAAAAAATTAGGCTTCACTTTAGTGGTTCTACCTACTCTACTTCATTTTATATCACATTTTATAAAATATATAGGGTAAATTACCCTGACGTCGTCTGATGTTATGAATGTGTTTGGTTTGTGTTTATAGAGTAATTTTTGAAATAAAAAATATAAAAATTTGTTTGGTTTGTCTTTTTTTAAAAATAGTTTTGGAAAATTATTTTGGGGAGAGAGTTTTAAAAATGTGATTGATTTGATGTGTATGAGAGAAAGAGTGATATTGAAAAGTAGATAACCAAACAAAATTTTAAGATTTTTTTTGAAAAAATTTGTTTGGTTTGATTACTTTTAAAAATTTGTTTGTAGAGAATTTTTCCTAAAATTTTTTGTAAAAAACAAACCAAACAGAACCTATATTTTTTTCTTAACTTTTGAAAATTTTGAGGTTTAAAGTTTTATTACAGATTTTCTTTACAATAATTTATTTTTTTTAAATGTCAATTTTACCCTCACATTTCAAAAATTACAATCCTCTCTCTAAGGTTTAAAGTAACATTACCAATTGCTTCCACGGTTAGTATTAGTTAGAAAAAAAATTCATTAAAAAAAATTAATTTGAAAAAAAAATTTATTAGTAAAATTTTTAAATTTTTGTTTAAAAACCAATGTAAACTCATTTTGAATTTATAAACTGGGACAACCATTTATAAATCAAAAAAAAAATTATCAAACCAGTTTTTATTATTGTTTTTAAAAATTTTGTAAATATAAATTGAAAACTGAAAACGAAATAGTTACCAAACAGGTTTCAAATGGTAAAAATGTCATAAAATTAACAAATAATTAAATAAGTTACCAACATAAGAAATGACTTATTAAAATATTCTTAGGTTATGTATGGTTTGATTTTTAGAATTTTTTTTAAAAAAATTAAAAATTAATTTGGTTAAGAAATAAAAAATAAAAAATAATTATCATTTAAGGGTAAAAAATAATTATCATTTTAATTTTTGAGCAGGTTATATACATACGTGTGACTGTTTCAATTTAATTTGTAAAAAATTATTTTTAACCACTCGAAAGATAAAAATTATATAAAAATAATTATTATTATTTTTTTTATTTCTTAACCAAATTAATTTTTAATTTTTAAAAAAAATTCTAAAAATCAAACAATACATAACCTAAGAATCTTTTGATAAAGCATTTCTTACGTTGGTAGCTTATTTAATTATTTGTTAATTTTATGACATTTTTACCATTTGAAACCTGTTTGGTAACTATTTTATTTTCAGTTTTCAATTTATATTTACAAAAATTAAAAAAACTGCCATAAAAACTTGTTTGATAATTTTTTTTGATTTATAAATGGTTATCTCAGTTTGTAAATTTGAGAAAAAAACGTAAATTCAAAAAATAAGCTTACGTTAGTTTTTAAACAGAAATTTAAAAATTTTACTAACAAAATTTTTTTTTCAATTAATTTTTTTCCAATTAATTTTTTTTTGCAATGAATTTTTTTTCCCAACTAATACTAACCGATGGAGCAATTAGTAATGTTACTTTAAACCTTAGGGAGGGGATTATAGTTTCTAAAATGTGAGGGGTGTCAATGTAATTTACCTAGTGAGAGCAAAATTGATATTTAAAAAAATTAAATTACTGAGGGAGAATCTGTAATGAAACTTTAAACCTTAGGAGAAGATATAATTTCCAAAACGTGAGGGAGAACTGTAATAAATATAAATTTCAGGGGGTGTCAGTGTAATTTACCCAAATATATATATATATAGATATATTAAACATAATTTTAAAAGTAAATTATTTATTTTTAAATTTTGAAATAAGATGGCAAATGAGGGTATGGCTTGTGGTGGTGGTCCTAGAAGGAAACGAGATGGAGAAAGATAACGGAAATTATGATTGATCGTGATGAAGAATGAACGAAACGTAGAAAAAATAATTGAAAGTGAAATGAATTATAGAGTATTTGACATCAGTATAAACGACAAAGATGAAATATTTGTAGTAGTTCTAGTATCTTGTTGGAGGTGATTTTGTTTGTTTAGGTAATAATTTATGGCTACCATGTAATTATAAAATTTGTTTCATTTTATGAATAGAATGACAATGATTTATGACTATGAAGTATTCACATTAACAATTTTTTTTTTATTATAAATTAAAAAATGGTTAAAAAAGCTTTTAAACTTAAAACAATACGATAGATTTTGACCGTTAATTATAAATTGGATAAATTATAAATACACCTTATTAAAATACAAATTGTTTTCAATAGTTATAAAAATTATATCTCCTCCCCTAAAATTTCTTATTTTATAACAAATTATATCTTTTTTAATAAATCATTAAGTCAATTAACAGTTGTAATGATTTCATAAATTTATTTCAATTAATAATTCAAATAATTTTATTATTATATAAGAGAACAGTTAAGAATTTTATTTTTTTAGTTAATTTTGTTACATAAAAAATTCTGACAAAAAAATATTTATAATTTTTTAAACTATAAAAGATAATCTGTATTTTAAAAAAATCTTAGGGGATGTATGTGTAAATTGCCCTTATAAATTTTAATTATGTGTTACAATTTTATCGAATGGAATGAAGCTCTCAATTTCATCTTTAAAATGGAGAGAATATATGTTAAAATAGGAAAAGATTAATAAATAAGTAATGAAAATTAAATATTGTAAAAAGATAAAATAATAATACAATTTCTATTACTTGTTGATAATTTTGACAGGCTAAGCCAATGTAATTTTCAGAGGTGTTCTCTAAAAATATTTTTAGATATCATAGGCGAAAAATTGTCAAATACTGTGTGTAATTAGCTCAAAAAAAAAAATAAAAAATGAAAGGTACAATTTGAGATAAAAATTTGTACAATTTTAAATAGGTTGTCTAAAATAATGATTGTTCTTGAGGAAAAAAAACAAATCATTAAAAATTTCGTGCTTTAAAATAAGTACGTTTTTTTAAAAAAATATATAATCTATTTTTTTGCTTCTAAAAAAATATTTGATGCTTTAAAAGAAGTTTATTTTTCATTATTTTAATTTTTTTATAAACTCTATTTACATATAAAATTTATACCAAAAAAAATCACCAAAATAATGTTATAAATTAAAAGCATTTTTATGAACTTTCATATTAAATTACATCAATTTATATAGAAATTACGTAAGAACTTTATTTTTATACTATTATTTATAAAAAAAAAAAAAATTGATATCATGATGTTTATTTTGTCAAAAAGACTTCACTTAAGTAATGTTTTATTTACTATCTAATGGGTAACATATATAATTATTTACAGTAATAATATCTATATAAGTCTCATTCACATTCACATTCACATTCACATTCACATTCACATTCATATTCATATTCAACCATTAATAATTATATGTGCTAAACATAAAATAATATAAAAATAAAAAAAGCATAGAAATAATTATTTTTTAAACATTTTTTTTTTGGGTAGATATATCTATTTTTTTTTTAACAATTTTAATGGAGTCAATTTATAAAAACCTCTCAAAAATTTTATATGATGCTACATAATTCAAAAAAAAAAAAAAAATGTTAGAGTGGGATGAATTGAACCCACTACTTTACGTATAGCTCCACCCATGACCTAGATTCTTGTTTAATCAGTAACTGTCCTTACAAAAGATCCCTAGGTCGTTCTTTAATCAGATTGAACCTGCTTGTACTCTGCCAACAGTTTCGGGATATCATCGATACGCAACTGAAAGTCACAAAAATGTAATCAAAATGAGGAAAGCAGAAGGCGACCAGAAAATAAATAATATACCAGCGGCGCGCACAAAAAAAAAAAAAAAAAAAAGGATTTTTTTTAATTAAAAGGGATTATACAAAGAATAATGTACAGTGGTTCAGTGTGTGGAAGTAACATTTTCAGGCTCTAAACTTCCTAGGATAGAAACTTTAAAAAAAGTCAGAAAAATACAACCTACAGGGATTCATGTAGTCGTAGTGTTCATGTATCATAGCATAGCCAAAAGCTAATCTTAATAACAGTTTAACTAACACGCAACAGATAATTAACCCCTTCGCTAATTTCTGAGGTTCATTAGCGCACCATTTTTGTCTTAGCCAGATGGCATGAACACTGATCCTTAAATTGAGTGAATTTAGATAATAATTATCTGGAAAAATACCATATTAACAACATGAATATGATAGTAATCAGTTTTCACAAAAAAATAAAAGAAGCTCCCATGATAGTTTTCTATAACAATTCCCTCATCACAACACTTTCTTGCAAACAGGACATACGCAACTGCTTTTGGACTAAGGCGTGCACATGCTGATGAAATTGCCCTCTTCTTATTTTACATTCTAAAACTCTTTTTTATGTAGATATCTAATTTTTATGAAATTAAATCGTCAAAGATCTATCAAATAAGATTCATATTAGTTATGAAATTATATATAAAAAAAAAAATTCAGTAAAATTTTACCACGTTAACAGTAAAATTTACTATACACTCTTAACATTTAAACAGTAAAATTCTATCACCATCACTAAATACCACAATCAATATCACCAATAGAAATATTAATGTACAAAAAAAAAAAAATCAAAATAGTGAAATACTAAATTATTTTTGTTAAACAAATACACAATAAAATTTTATTGTCTATAAATACAATTACACCCAAATTTTACTGTATGTTTTTTGGGTTACTTCCGGAACACGATGGGGGATTGTCTATGTAGTGATCTAAACTAATAGTGTAGCGAAAAATCTTACAATTGGAACATAGTGACTCACATTTGTTAGGTAATTGAGAGATAAAGAATGACCCAAATAGTGCGAGTTACGGTTTCCCATTGGCTGGGAGCACCAAGTAGGCAATGATACTCTAAAACTATTTAATAATTTTTCCAATCACATCATATACCATATTCACAATTTCCAAACAAATCCATGGTACCATATGATTAACCTGCAAATATTTTACTATTTCCTTTCCTATTCAAGTAAACCCAGCATTCGTTACCTTTTTGACATGGAGCAATTGCTAATTTGCTATCGATCATGGCACTGACTGGAAACAAAAAAATGAGATACCCATGATCCAAACTTTGCTAGTATTGGAGTTCAAGAGAAGCAAATCAGCATCAGGTTAAAGGCAGCACATGGCTTAATTTTGGTTCCGTGTGAGACAACTTTGAAAAACAAGGATGATACATATATATAGACACAAGTACATAGAAAGAGAGCTGAGAGAAGATATATTGGGCAAAATTGTCTAATAAAAAGAGGTGTGTGCTTTATATGTCCTTAATGCATGAGAAATCAATGTTTAAGAGCTTTATACACTAAAAAACATTTAGTTGTCCTTTTATCACTACAAAACTATATGGGAGGACTTCTGGGCAGATTTTCCTTTTCTATAATCCAAGCAAAGATAATTTATACCAAGGGTATGGCTTTTTTTTTTTTTCTTTTTTCCCCATAATGTTCATGGAACTGTGACTACTCTTCTGCAAAGAGCAATTAAAAAGATATTTTTGTAGGGCTATAATTCCAAACTGAACACCTTTTGAGTACTGACATCATTTAATACTAGTTTTAGCAAGTGCATTCACATAAGTTGACAAAATACTAACCATAAGTGACCTATGCAGAAGGCTTAACTGGACTGTTATTGTTTGCACTCCAATTTAAGATTTTTATGTTTCTCTTGTGCAAGTTACCTTCACATATTCTTGTAGTTTAATCAGAGAGAGGAAGAGAGTTTCCACATAACATGCATTAACTTCATAATATAAACAAGAAATCATCTTAAAGCAAAAACTGAAAAACTCTAAAGAGACATACATGACTTGTACCTGAGAAGCTTTTCTTATATGGTAGAAACGATATGCCTCCTCTCCCGGAAAATCAACTTCACCCAATTGTAAATTGGAGCCAACCTTCATTCTGCCACAGTCATGATGACGCAGTAAACAAAACTATTAATTTTAGCTGCCGAATGAAAAATAAAACCATAAACAAGTTCAAGTTCATAGTTTAGTAAACCAACAAAATTTATGAGAAACAGGTAAGAGGATGATCTTCCTGGAGAGACCTTATGACAGTGCTGCAAATTTCCTCTCTTTTATTACTATCATTACTATTAGAAGCCCGTGTCAAACACAGACACAGTTTGTGGTTGAAGAACTATGGAAATCATATACATTACCATAGTTCCAATTGATGTGAATTGCACCGACTAAAAATGGGGACAGCAGACAGGTATAAACAATGGTCAAGTAAGCTTGAATTAAGAAACTGATTGACATGATCAACCCAATTGATTTTGCTATAGCCCCATTCGTGCGGAGCTTCATACTTCTTTCTGGTAAGTACAGTACGCTTTGCACCTCTGCCTTTCGAGGTGGAAAGATATACCATTCTGATGGTTTTTACTTATCTGTAGTATGCAGTTGTTATTGTGAATTTTTTTCCTTTTCCCTATAGTTGCGTTCACAAGCTAGTCAAAACCAAACTATTTATGCCTCACTTCAAGGACAATTTTACAGGCTTTGAACTTGTCCAAAAACATGTTATTTGGGACTGAGCTGATCCCCAGAAGGTAAATTGATTTGATTAGTAGCCTTTGGAGGTGGAAAGATATACCACTCTGATGGTCTTTATTTATCTGTAGTATGCAGTTGTTATTGTGAATTTTTTTCCTTTTCCCTATAGTTGCGTTCACAAGCTAGTCAAAACCAAACTCCATTTAATTTATGCCTCACTTCAAGGACAATTTTACAGGCATTGAACTTGTCCGAAAACATGTTATTTGGGACTGAGCTGATCCCCAGAAGGTAAATTGATTTGACTAGTAGGGTATGGTACTGATCACCAAACCTCCATGAATTCATTCTTGCTGATCAAAAAAAAAAAATGGAAAAAAGAAAAGTAATGATGCATAAAAGTTCATCCTTACGTATGATGGCGTGCAATCAAGCGTTGGTAGTCACGAAGTAGGGGGCTGAGCTCCTTCAGTTGTATTGACTGCGGAGTGGATTTTCTCCAATGGTCACGAACCGCCTCAGCTGCCTTTATATCACCATATAGGGTGCAATTAGTTGTAGAAGAGGCAGGTACATTATACAATACACAAAACTTACCAGACTATGTGAAATCTGCTCATTGCCAGCAACATTTTCTCCAATCAACCGTGATGCTAGTTCAAGAAATTCTTTGTCTTCCAATTCTTCTATGATTTGAATCTCGGGGCTAGAAAGTGAGACAGAAATTTCTAACCTCTTCTGTAACTCTGAGACTGCAGATTCTTTCATTCCGCTTTCCTGTAGAAGATACAAAGAACAATTTACATATTTTCTTATAAAATGATAAAGTAGTCTGGAAAGATATAATAAAGTCGTGTCAAAATCATGTAAGCAAAATCATCACAAATTAAGTTCCTACATTTCGTACATGGGAATGCACTGTAATGGAACTCCTATCCCAGCTTCCTCATTTGGTTGGCCAAACCGACCGCATACCCAATCCCACAAAATATTGGAATGGTCATTGAATCCTCTTCAAGAGGTACGGAATGGATACAAGAATACCCTGGAATGAGCCTTTAAATAGGATTTCCACCAGCCAATCGAAAACTTGACCAACTCATTGATGCAGTACCAAAAGAACAAAACAAGAACAAATGTAGGGTCCCGTAAACTTTTTTACAACATTACCTTGACTGCAGTTTGGAGGGCATCATTTGCCATTGCAACATCCTTTTTTTCAAGAACGTTTCTTTGTGGTGATGCCGGTGACCGTTTTGCAATAGGATCCTCTACATATCAAGAAAAAATAACCAGTTTTTAGATTTGAAGTAAACTCCACAGGAAACCTCAAAATAAAGTACAATAAAATAAATACATATGCATGCAATGTCTTGGATACATCAATTGGGAAATGAAAATTTCTGGCACCATCTACTTGTTTTCTCAAAATTGTTCCTTTCATGGCATTGCTCTACATTTTCCATTTTAAGCATCCATTCCACCATCCGATCCATTCACCTCTCATTCCCTTCAACAAACTCACATTTGAAGCCTTCTCTCTTCTATATTTTCACTTTGAAAGAATTTAAAGATGAAAGTCAGTCAATTCATAACAGGACCTGCCTCAAACACTAGATATTCTATGTTCAAAATGATAAAAGAGGTGACATGAATCAAAACCAAAAGCTCCATAAGACACTTGAAACATCAACATCCATTCTAATTGATTTGACATTTTCCAAGGTTCTACGGATATCATGAATCATCATGCATATGACAAATGCCACATCACATGTTAGCAATGCCCAAACATTGAAACATAATAAGTATACCATCTAAGAAGCATGGGCATGATATAGATACGCCGACATGCAAATTTCGAAAAATATATGACATGACACACGGGGAACATGTGCAAAATATATAATTTTATATATTTATTATATGTCATATATAATGATAAGTAATTATTATACGTAATATACATAAATATTTAAGACAAAAATAATAATTTTTAAAGTTAAAAGGAGAAGAATAGGTTTAAATTTACATTGTTTTTCTTTTATAATTGAATTCTAAGTTATTATATTCAAACTTATAATGTGTTGAGTGTTGTGTTGTGTTGAACACGACATGCTACCTTTTTAGAAGTGTCAATGCTTCTTAGTATACAAGGAATGGATTGAAGCACCCTCAATAAAACCTTTTATCTTTTCAGATAATTACACTAGTATTGAGCTCCAGTAGAAATTTTAACAACTAAAAACATACTAGCATACTAGTTGAAAGCAAGGTACCTTCAGGAACCAACCACCACAGATCACCAAATGTTGTTTTGCCATCAAAGCCACCAAATAACAGATATCGTGAGCCAATATATGTCATAGAATGGTATGCTCGTGCAGGAGGGGGTTCATTGCTTGTTGGTAGGCGCTTCCACTGCACAGAAACTAAATACAACCAAAGCAACATAACGAAGTTTAAACCAACATTTACTGCAACTATATGAAAGCTAAATAAGACTTAACATCTAATGCCATGTTAATATCTAATTTAAAGGGGGTTCCAGTCCTAGTTACGGAGGAGAAAATAACATATCATGTTTTCAGTTCCATTATAAGCTTTCCATAAAGCCATGTTGCAGGCATGGGCATTCTTACACTGTAACCAAAAAACAATTATGGCATGCACTATTATAATTTTCCAACTGCATATTTAGGTCAAAGATTGTTTGCACTGCCTCCACATGGTACAGTTCGACTCAACAAACCAAGATGTTTCAGCTGTTTTTACAAATCTAACATGTTTGGACTGTTTCCAAAATCATGTTAAATTGTGTTTAGACTTTAGACCGTTCAATATTCAGGTTAAAAGTGTGTTTGGACTGTTTTACACGGCTTCTTCTGATTACCCATTGGAGAAACTAAACAATCAGAAGGAAAAAATTGTTGTTACTTGTTAGTTTCCTTCAAGTTGTATCACTTAAAACTTTTCATCTTCAACACAACTTTCATGAACAAAAACTTTTGATCCCAACTATGTACAATAGGAGCACTCACCTCTGTCTAAGACAACACAGTCATTGTAATAAATGTCATAACGACTCAACCAACCACCAGTCCCATGCCCTCCAAATAACAAGAGCTGCAAAAATAATGAGAATAATAATAACAACAGTAACTGAAAGGGAAAAAAAAAATCTACTGAGCTGGGTACCAGTTGCTAGAAGTGAGAAGATAATAAAAATAAAAAGAAAAAAGAAAAAAAAAAGAAAGAAAGATTAAATAGTGACAAGTAATAATTTGTCACAGCATACAAATGGTGACACATGCATCTATGTGTGAACAAAATTTACTTAGTTTTCTTTAAACAAACCTTCCCCCTCTCTCCAAGTTGCCAAGAACAATAAATAAATCTGTAAGGGCTTATAATTTATAGAGAAGTTGCTATTTCAACTGCATTCACCAGAAATATTGGGTAAAGGGGCCAATCTCCACAATCTCTCTACAAATCCAAAAACAGTTTCAAGAGCATCCAAAAAAGAAGCTACACGATTACACCTCATCATGTCTTATTGATTAACCATAGAGGCAGTGGTCTCATCTCAAAGGAGATCATCAGCTCTTATTGGGCCACAGGAAGAATAAAAATTGTTAACTACTGAATTCAACTGCTACCAACCAACATAACTGTAATCACCAGAACATTCTTGCACGACCACCATTAAGGTCGAATTTCCAAGTTTAGAACTGCAAACATAATGGATATTGTCTATAACCAACGGTAGTTCAATATAATTACAGTGGAACTATCACCAATTAGGAACAAAGACTCGTACAGTAACCTAGATTCGAAATTACAAGCAAATCAAACTTGGCTGTATTATAATGATTGCTTCCATTCTCGAGTTTTTTTTTTTTTTGTAACCTAGATTCGAAATTACAAGCAAATCAAACTTGGCTGTATTATAATGACTGCTTCCATTCTTGAGGTTTTTTTTTTTTTTTCCTGACTTCATGCTGCTTGATGCAGATTTGAGTCTAGCTCACTGCTTTAGTATGGTCATTTGTAAACCTGTAATCAATTCAATTTATTTAAATTTCGCTAACTGCCCAACTGAAACCCGTTGTTAATTCATTACATGATACTTCTCTAAGACAAAACAATACAAGTTAAAAAACATCTGAGTCTATGAAGTAGAAGTGAATATGATGAAGTGAACTAGAAGACCAGTAGACATGACAATGTGTATAATAAAATACCACATTTTTTGGACCATTATAAGATAAGAAAAATAAAATAAACAAAAACAAGATTCCTACTGCTATTGATGTTTCAAATGTTGCCGGCAATGAGTACAACACCAATATCAAGTTATTTTACACTTGGAGAATTAGCAAGTAAAATGACACATCATAGTGAAAAGAAAAGGGTTATAATAGAGAAAGTTACATGGTGCCCTCCAGACGTTACAGTATGACCACAGCAAGGTGAAGGCGCTTGACCAGGAAGCTTCAAATTGGTCCATCCGGGAGTTTCATTTTCTTCCTTACCCAACAAACATTAAACATAATTCAACAAAGACACAACAAGAAGGCAACAAAAAGAATACAAAGGTGCACAAGATTTTCTTTTCGAAGATAAAACAACCCAAAGCTATCTAGCTGACACTAGAACATTAACAAATATGAAACAATAAGTTAATAAAAAAAAACACATACATACAAAGAGATAGACACACTGACAACCGAAAAGAATTTTGTCGGATATATGCAACAGGCAAACAGACAATAAAAACAATAGAAATGTGTCATCCAGATAGAATAGAAGATAGACATAGATCAGATGTAACTAAATATCAGACATTATTTAAACTTTATATTGAAAAGATAAAAGAGGCATGAAAGGATTTGGTAAAAATAACTGATCTGATCCAAGTAACTCATACATCTAAAGGAGGACTATTTTCTTCATGCATCTGTTGCCCCCGGTTGATAGGTACATATAAGGCCCAACGTCATTGTGTGCTATGTCTACCCCTTTATTTTTTATTTTTTATTTTTGATAAGGTGTTCTACTCATATCCTTATACCCTTCATAGGGACTCACAAATCAGACAACATGAAAATCTGATGGGACCATTGTGATTTTGTATATGGGACGGCACAAATCTGTCATGAAGAATGAGGCCAGTAAAGAAATGGAATTTCACACGACAGCTGCCAGGATCAGTTCAATAATCATGAAATGCCTCCAATTCAATCTCTTACGATCATTTTTTCATTGAGGCAGTCAACATCATGTAACAAACTCGTCCATGAAAATGGAACTTTACCTTTACAATCAACTGCATTGAGGTGATGACAATTTAAAGGTAATCTTTAATCCTTGACTTGAAATCATTACTATAGCTTCTAATCAGATTCAAATAATAAAGAAGACCATGGAAGATGCGCTAGTCGCACAATTCACTTGCTTTCAATCACATTATTGTTGACATGAGTGTGTCACGCCTCTTGAATAGAAATGATGATATCATGTTAAATTCCATTGAAAAAAGAAGTAACTTCATAATTTATCAAGGCATGACATGCAATAAGCATAGAATAACAGAGAAGGAAGAGAAGGAAGAGAACTTTTAAAAACATAGCATGAAGCAAAAACTATGGGATGAAACACAGAATATATCCCACGTGCAGTAGCTTGAAACGGAAATAGACTAAAAATGAATTTATAATTAGAAGAAAAGACGGTTAAGTAACACAACACCTTCTTCAATAAGACCTTTCAAAGCCCATAAATCACCCATGATGGGCCCTCCACCTCCTACATAAGTTGAAAAAACTGCCACGTCAATTGAAGACCAAATAGATGGATGCAAGCAACAATCAAGAAGGAAGGAAGGGACTATCTCACCTCTCCCACCATAGACCAGCAACCTTTTCTCAACCATAGTAGCTGTGTGGCCACATCTAGGTGGTGGCAATGACCCAGAAACTGATAGCTCCATCCACTCAAGTGATACTGTTTGGAATAAAAGAAAAGGTTAAACAGAAAGATAAAGAAATTACATGTGTAAGACATTAAATAAACAAATAAATCACTGGGGAGAACTTACTTGTGTCCAAGACATAGACATCTGACAACCATTTTTTACCATCCCACCCTCCATACCTACATTAGATTGATGCCCTTTTAATCGCAAGGTGGACACAAACCCATATCAAAAAATTGATCAAATCCGCAAAATCTATCAATACCCACATAACAATCTTACGGTTTCCAATAGCTGAAGCGGCAGCAAAATCCCGTGGTGAAGGCAACTCACCAAAACTAGTAAGCTCTGACCATTGCCATAAATCTGGAACAGATATAAACTAATTATTCCTCAACAAAACCGTACCAGGAGATGAAACAAACATTATCCATATATAAGTTAATAACACTTGTTTATTATTACATGTATTTGGTTAATGCATCGTAGTTTCTTACCAGTATCTAGGACCCAAAAGTCACCCAACCTGAAGGACAGCATTATCATCAATAACATGCATGTAATATTACCAATGTAACATAGATTTGCAAAGACACAAATATGTAGTGGATGTGTACAGACCTTTTACTACCAGAACGCCCACCAAAAATAAACATGTTGCAATCAATTGCAACAGCAATGTGAAACGCTCGTGGGCTAGGTCCCACCTCCCCATCGGTTCCACTGCCAGTGCACTCTGGCTGATACCATAATTTGTTGTCTGAAACATTCAACAAAAAGCACAAATTGAGAACCTGTGGACAACTTTTAAATCAATTGTTCTGCGTGTCAGCATGTGAGAAAAAATAACATAACTTCCAATCAATGATAGTTTTATTGCAGTCTGTCCGAAACCTAAATTCCAAGGAGCAACCTGTGTAGCTGAGCAAGAGCTGGCTGACATTTCAAATGTGAGTGAGCTTACCAATGTATGTGCTATGCAGGTGAGTGCTAGCACCATAGGGATGAGTGGAGAACACTAAGTTCTATTTTTACAAGTAACAATTTTTTCTTGAAGGCATTATTTTCAAGGTAATGAATAGAAAAAATGGTAGGAGCTAGTAATTAGTGCATGGAAAACCTATCTGGGTACGAGCATAGTAGCCCCTACCCACAAGGGAGCTAGATAGGAGGGTCTACCTTTTTTTATTACATATATCAACTTTAGTAGCAATTCATGTAGAAGTTGATAATAGGGATGTGGTACAATGTATATCTTTCTAAATAGTTCCATTGTCATATAAATGTGAAAATTAATGTGGTGTAGGAATGAGACGTGTCAAATATATTCACAAGTACATTTTCAAAAGTCATGATCACACAACAATAGTGCTGAGAGGGATGGACATGATTCAACAATATCTCAATGCAAGGTATATTGAATTGCCAGAAGTTGCTTGACTCATATAACAACTGATGGACAACAACTAAAATCCATGTCCACAACTGTAAAACTACCAAAATAACCTTAACTCTCAAAATAAAGAACAAATGTAATCAGAAGTAGTACATTAACTCTATATAAACTAAAACTCTATACATTACCAAGGACAACTCACTTTACACCAAACAATCTTCTTGCGGGGTATAGAGGCCATAGGCTTTGCTTTAAGCTATAAAGTAGACATACTTCGTCTAATAAATCAAATTGAATTTTTAACATTATTTTATTTATCAAAAAAAAAAAATCAAATTGAATGGGGATAGATACACTTGACCAACAGAGGTAAGATTAAAAGAAAGGTTATTCAAATCTGATTGTGAGTGCCTTAAAGGCTAAACTGCATAAAATGAAGAGAAAAGGGAAAGAAAGGAAAGAGGAGAAGAAAGAAGAAGAATCCGTGCATCACACCTAGAATTCAGTAGGCATTAGAGATCTAGCATTAAGGTTGCATCACACATTCTCAAAAAGGTTCCAGAAATTCTGAAAATTTTCTTTATCAAATTAAGATAGTTACATAGCTTTAAATAGTCTTAAAATAACTCTAGTTCCAAAAGGATTAAAGAGTTGGACTTCTAAAATTAGTGTGCTTTTAAGGTGAAAATTGATCTGAGGCAACAAGGCCCCCGAGGCCTAAGGAGTTGTTTGGGAAGTTAGTGTTTTAACCAAAAAGTCAAAAAGCCGCTACAAAATCAATCCATTCTCTCTACTTTTATGTAAAAAGCTACTAAAAAGCCAAATTCACAAACAAACCCTAAGTGCGAGGCTAAAAGACAAACGCAATGGCTTCATTGAAGCAACGCGAATGCTAGGGTAGGATATTTCTTTCTAAAACTATATAACATGAAAAATAAAAAAATAAATAAAATAAAATAAAAATCTCAGTAATTCTAAAAAACATGATGCATCCAACATTCCAGATATTATCCATAAAGAAATGGGAAAACATGCAACAAAATCCAAATTTCAAATACCAATATCGAACAAAAACATAAACACTAAACATTATAACATTGAAAAACATAAAGAGAATAACTGCTCAACAAAGAATTTAATGCCCAGCAACAGCCAAAGAAGGAAAAAGTTGTATCCCTGAGGGGTTTATGTATGTGTTCGTATGTATGATCAAAGAGCAACAACAACACACCATAAGAGCATGAAATTACAATGGGAAATAAGAAGGTTGTTAGACTGTAAAGAACATACTCACAAATCAAGATATACGAATATAAAAACAACCAAGTAGAAGAAGAATCTGAAATAGATAGATAGTTAGATAGATAGAGTGAAAATTGAATACCGGTATCATAAACAGTGATGTCGCTGAGAAATTTCTTGTCAACAAGTCCACCGAACACTACGATTTTCGATTTCCCAATATTCACAGCTGTGTGGCCGCTGAAAAATCAAATCAGAACAATCTCTGTGACATAGATTTCCAAGATTAACCAAAGAATTGAGAAACAGAGAGAGAGATAGAGAATTGCCTTCGAGGTTGGGGAAGAGTTCCACTGAAATCCGTAGACGAAGCTCGAACCCAGTAATGCATCTTCTTCCCTCTCTCTCTCCCCCTCTCGCTTCGCTTGACTTTGAGGCTACCTATTTTGTGGGCTCAAATAGCCCATTTATTAAAAATAAAAATTAGGAAAAATTTAAAAATAAATAAAAATAAAAAAATCTTCGATTTTGACTTTTATAACAAAATAAATTCTGATTTTTTTATTTTATAAATTCAAATACTAAATTTTTGATTTGTTTTTAATTTAAACTATTTACTTATTTTCATTAAATAAAATCGATCGAAAAAATTTGTATTTCAGTCATTAAATTCAATAAAAATGTATTTAAGGCATTTCATGTATATCAATATTAAGTTTAATAACTAAAATGCTCTTTTTTATCGATTTTACTAAAAAAAATTATCCCATGGTTGAAATTAAAAACAAATTAAAAACTTAATGTTTAAATTGACAAAATTAAAAACTCTGGATTTATTTTATTAAAAGGCTCTGACTTTAGGTTTATCTTTTTTGTAATTATCCCAAAAATTTATATATGATTTTATATTATTTAGTTAAATAATGATTTACATTGAAATAATGGTTAAAAGACTCAAAATAATTTATAATTGAATTTTTTTAATAGCCTAAATTCAATTAATTATTCAAAGATTAATTCATTAATAATTTATATAAATCTGGTTAAATGATTAATTATTCAAGGATTAATTCATTAATAATTTATATAAATCTGGTTAAATGAGTGAGCTTGCAATATGTAAAATTTCTTTTGGAGCCAGATTTAAAATGACCATATTAAGCTTGATGTTAGGTTGGATTAGACTTGAAATAACACATAATCTTATTATTTTTTTGTGTCCACACCAATCAAAAATAGATGACAAAATTACTTGACACAAATAAACTAAAATTATTTTCACTCGCCCAACATTGTTTTTTATTACAGTTTTCCTTTCTTTAAATTGTATTTTCACTCAAAAATCATAACCAGGCCCAAAAATGATGTCTCTCTTTCTTTTCTTTTTTTGGAGCTTTATTTGACTAGTTAGGCCCAAAAATGATGCCTTTTAACTACTACAATAAAATATTCTGCATAAAAGAATTAGAAAAATATAAACTTTTTTCTTGATTATTTACTGTCCACAAATACCAATAGATTCATTTTTTTTTTTCAAACACAAAATAAGAGAAGGATATTCAAGAAAAGAGAGAAAAAAATAATAATAATTGGTTGAGTAATTTACACCTTTTTTATTAAACTTTTTGCCAATAATTGTATTTTCACTCAAAAATCATAACCAGGCCCAAAAATGATGTCTCTCTTTCTTTTCTTTTTTTGGAGCTTTATTTGACTAGTTAGGCCCAAAAATGATGCCTTTTAACTACTACAATAAAATATTCTGCATAAAAGAATTAGAAAAATATAAACTTTTTTCTTGATTATTTACTGTCCACAAATACCAATAGATTATTTTTTTTTTTTCATACACAAAATAAGAGAAGGACATTCAAGAAAAGAGAGAAAAAATAATAATAATAATTGGTTGAGTAATTTACACCTTTTTTATTAAACTTTTTGCCACTGAAGGTGGGTAATAGGTATAAACATTTTTGCCACTAAAGGTGGGTAATAGGTATAAACATTACACCTTTCATTATAATAAAACATGTTTACAAGGTTCCAGACTATAATGCTACTTCCCATTTCAATCCACAAGCTCTTCCACTGCTCCGTCCATCTCTTCCTGCCACTTCCCATTTCAATCCACAAGCTCTTCCACTACTCCGTCCATCTTTTCCTCTTCTTTCTCATTTCCTCACTCAATTCTTTTGCTTTCTTTCTTATAATCTCTCCACTTTCCCCCTTCATCACCTCTCTAATCACTCTTGCCACCTCTTCTCTCTTAACCCTCCCATCTTCATTTCTCTTGACCTCCACACCCACACCAACCTCCTCCACCAACCTACAATTCAGAGGCTGATCAAGATGCATAGGCATAGCTATGATCGGAACCCCAAACCCAATACCCTCCATCACTGAACTCCATCCACAGTGACTCACAAACCCTCTAATCCCTCCATGTCCTAATATCTTTGCTTGTTGGGGCCACCCCTGCACAACTCTTCCTCTTTCTTTTCATCCTCTCAAGAAACCCTTGAGGCAGTGCTTCTTCAACCCTAATTCTCTCTCCTATAGGAAACCTAACAACCTATATGAAGTTAACATTGCTAAGCTCTAACCCATGAGCTATCTCTTCCATCTCTTCTTTAGACAAAAAGTACTCACTCCCAAATGAAGCAAACACTGTCGAGCAGTGTTCTTTCTTGTCAAGCCATTGAATGATCTCTGGTTTCTCATCGTCATCATTGACAACTAGTATTTGAACAAGTGGACCCACCGGGACCATTCTTTTCTCGGTCATAGATGGGAGATAATCAATAAATTTTTCCTCTATGGCTCTACAAGTCTTGATCGACACGATATTCGACGATTGCTCGGTGCACTGGTGGAATCTATCTTGATCTTTGAGATCATTTGCAATAGAGTTAATGAGACGATCGATCTTAACTCGCTCGTAGTCTTTGATATAGATCGCTGGAGATAGAAATTTAGAACTTGGGTTGTTTTGGAGATGAATGAAGTAAGAAGTTGAGGTGGCACCAGCACTGAGAAATAGAACTGCTGGAATGTTGCACGACAAAGCCACTTTGGGTGCCCATGGTTGGAGGAAATCATGGATGAGCAAGTCTGGTTTTATGGTGTCTAAAATGGTGGAGAAGATAGCCTTTGACATATCAAAGGCTGTTTTGAGAATGGGCATGAGGTGGGGTGGGAGGCCATTGGTTGTGTGGTAGTGAGGAGGAAGATTAGAGAATGATGGAAGGTTGAGCTCTACTAGTTCTATTGATATGAGCTTTTGTTTGATGGAAGTGAAATTGATTGGTATAGAACATAGGAATTGACCCTTCCTAACCAAGATCGGTAAGACACGAAATAACAAACAAGAAAGAAATTAATGAATCAAATAAAAGTCACACACATAAGAACACAAGGATTTACGTGGTTCACCCCAGAATAGGGTTACGTTCATGGTTGCTGCAGTTTTCACTATGATTACAAAAATACAGCTCTCTTTTTTTTCCTAAAAGATGCACCCCCTCATCTATTTATAAGTACAGAATTAGGGTTACATGGAAGCACATAGGAATTACGAAAGTACCCAAAACTTAATGTTTGAGTGAACAGTACTTATCAAGGTCCATTGACCCAATAATCTCCCACTTGGAACCTAATAACACAAGCTCTCCATCATCTTCATCACATAGAGGAATGCCACAACAACTCGATCTTTTTTCATCAATCTTGAAGACCAACTAAAGTTGCACACAACTTCAGTTTGCCAATGGTGACTGTCTTGGTCAACATATCTGTTGGATTCTTACTGCCTTGGATCTTCTCAAGAGACAAGACTCTATCATTTACAAGTGAACGAATGAAATGGTATCCTAGTTGAATGTGTTTCCTCCTAGAATGAAAAGCCGAATTCTTTACAAGATGAATAACACTTTAACTGTCCCTATGCAAAATACTCATCTCTTGCGTCTTACCTAACTTTGCTAAGAAATTTTGTAACCAAGTTATCTCCTTTCTAGCTTCAGTAATAGTAACATACTCAGCCTCTATTGTAGAAAGGGCCACAATCTTCTGTAACTGTGAAATCCAACTTACTGCTGTACCACCCAATATGTAAACATAACCTGCAGTACTCTTTCTGTTATCTATATCACCAGTCAAGTCTGCATCAACATAACCATGTAACCCGATACTGGTTCATCTAAAACAAAGTGCCATGTCTATTGTACCACTCAAGTATCTAAGGATCCACTTCACTGCCTCCTAATACTGTTTGTCTGGATTACTCATGTACCTACTAACCACTCCCACTGCATGTGCAATGTCTGGTCTAGTACAAACCATAGCATACATTATATTATAGATAGCTGAAGCATATGGAACATTTTCCATATAAGCCTGCTCTTCTTCGGTCTTCGGAGACTGCTCTTTGGTAAATCTGAAGTGGCTAGCCAATAGAGTGCTTACTGGTTTTGCATCATCCATGTTTAACCTCTTGAGAACTTAAAGTACCATTTGCCTTGTCCTTGTGAATCCTCATACCAATGATTTTGTTTGTAACTGCAAGATCCTTCATCTCAAATTGGTTGGACACAAGTTTCTTCAATTTTTTTATCTCTTCAATGCTAGATCTTGCGATAAGCATATCATCAACATATAAAAGCAAAATAACATAACTTTTGCCAAACCTCTTGAAATAACAACAATGATCTGCTTTACATCTTGTAAAACCACTGCTATACATAAACCCATCAAACTTCTTGTACCACTGCCTTGGGGCCTGTTTCAAACCATACAAGCTTTTTCAAAGTTTGCATACAAACTCCACTTTGCCACGTGCCATGAAATCTTGTGGTTGCTTTATGTAAATTTCCTCCTCCAAATCACCATGGAGAAAAGTTGTCTTCATATTCATCTGCTCAAGATACAAATCTTCAGCAGCCACAATTCCCAATACCAATCTGATAGTGGTCAACTTCATAATTGGAGAGAAAATTTTAGTGTAGTCAACCCCTTCTTTTTGCTGAAATCCCTTTGCAACCAATCTGGTCTTGTAGTGTTTACTCCCATCATGTTCTTGTTTGACCCTATAAACTCACTTGTTGTGCAAAGCTTTCTTACCCACTGATAATTCAGTCAACTCCCATGTCCGGATTGCCATAAGTGAAACCATTGCATAGCTGACTCCCACTTAATTGAATCATCAACCTGCAAAGCCTCATCATAACTTTCAAGTTCACCCACATCAAACAACAACAAATAATGTAAAGATGGAGACCAATGCTGTGTAGGTTTAGACTCTCTTTATGATTTTCTCAACTTAGGAGTAGGAGTTTGTGGCTCAGTTTGTGGAATAAGTTTTTTAGGATTATTCTGAATCTTACTATTCAAATCATTCTCACTAATCTTCTCTAGCTCAACATGCTCATGACAAGTAACAGATTCAGATTTAGATTCACATGCAGAC